AAGAACAACGAAATAAGTTATGTACAATTCAAACGTGTGTTTCAAGCGTGTATTCGTATGTGTGTTCATGTAGGTCACGTGCCGTATACCGTTTGACTAATCTGCTCCGCCTATTTGCCTCGAAGCCAACTGTGAGCAATAACTTAGTAAAGTTATGTTCGACTGTATTTATTTTCTGTGTGATAAAATAAGATCTGCTTTCTGAAGTACTATGTTCTGTACAATGAATGATTGTCCAATTTTTTATATGTATTCGTGGCATCTTTAGCATCATGTGATATCTGTTAATTGTTACCCGGTATCGTAGGTTCCATCATGGAACTTAATATGTCTGCACTCTATTACCCCGTACTGGAGGCTCCATCATGGGACTCAGCATGTTTATTCTCTGTTACCCAGATCCGGAGGTTCCTTTATGGAACTGGTTATTTATAACCCCCACATGTTCTGCATCTGTTCTGTATCTGTTCTGTTAGCACTAATGGATGTACCACGTATGCTCTAGCATGACTTATGATTTCTGTATGTGATCTGGACAAGATTATGAATTTGATGCGAAACTGAACTGTGATTTCTGAATCTGTACGGACTTATTCATTAAAACTCTTTACTCCGTTATTATTCACTGGACTTCCGCTCACTGTTTATATTATGTATGTAGGTGGGCCAGCACGTGACCAGGGCCAGAGTTGACGGCCTACGTTCTGTTTTTATTAGCCAGCCTTTGCGCCTCCCGAGGAGGTTTCTGATGAAGTTCGGTTTTGTGGCTTTTTTTGTAACCTGTATTAGACTATGTTGTTGTTAAGTTGTGGGCGAGACTTTTGTCCTGAACGCCTAGGTGTGTTGTGTATATATATCATGTGTGTTGACTTTGCCCGCATTTTGTAAAAGTTTCAAGCTTTACTGTCTCATGTATGTTATCACAGCTCATTGGACCTTATCTATTTTGTATATTTGCTTCTGCAGCCCCTATCTATTTGTTAATTTGTCATGAGGCCTTTGGTAATCCAAGGATTACTGGCCGGTTGCGATACTAAACCTATAGGGGCAGATTTGGGTCGTGACACCCGTGCATAACATGTGTAATATACTAATTTTGAGAATAAAGTTAAAAGTCAGCTTATTAGTTTCTTGATTTTTTTGGGTAACATTTTTTTTTTCACATTTAAAAAAACAAAAAAAAACAAAAAACAAAAAAATAGTTTTAACCTATTTTTCAAAATAGGCCTTAAGTGTATTTTGTAAACTTATTGACTCCAAGCTCAAGTAAGATTAGCTCGTTTGTTTTTATTTAAATAGTGTAAACAATAGTAAAGAAAAAAATTTATTTAGCTTTAAGCCGAGCTTGAGTTTTATTACTAATATAAATGAGCCAAGGTTATTGAGCTTAACTCGAGTTGAACAATTGAGTTCGAGTCCTGTAAAGTTTGACTTGGCTTTATCCGTTTACATCCTTGATACTAATCATACATGAAAGTGAGATCAACATAAATTTATTTATTTGTTAACTGATTAAATAGATTGAAAATGTGTCGCATAGGCCAAACTCATTCATTAATCATGTTATGTTTATCACATTTATGATACATTTGTAAATAGATCATGTTAAATGTTGATGTCATGTTAATAAATATATTTGAAGGAATGTGAAATGAACTTATTTTAGGACTGTTCGTCTTCCCAATCTCATTGAGATTTGTTTCTACCCGTATAGTTGTGTATTGCACTGATATAAGTTTTTTTTGTTGTGCATAAAAGCCAATAAAAAAAATAGTTAACAAGTAGTCAAATGAAACACTTTCAGAGTTTTAAAAATTTTCTGCCATTGTTTTAATACATTATTAATTATCTTTAACTATCAAATTATCTAAAACTTGTGCATAATTTAATGATTACGAGATTGTTAACATCATAAATTTGTAATTTTATTATTTATTATTTATAAAATTTCTGGATATATAGCACACTTCTACTCCTTCAGAAATTATGAGAAATTATAAAATGTAGAAAGATGATGGAGAATAGAATTGAGAACATGGAACATGAAGTGAAGGTTGAAGGAAGTTATGGAAGATCATGAAGTATGAAATGGAGAAGATGGAAGAATGGGTAGTTTTAGGTAGTTTTTCCCTTCACATGTTTTCCTATAAATAGCCATTTATAGCTACATTGTAAAGGATCCAGAATTCAAATCAAAGACAATTGATTTTTATTTTTCTTGTCATTTATATTTCCTGCACTTTATTTAATGCACTTCTTTTTCGAAGCATAGGAATAGAGGTAAGTTCTCTGCATTTTATCTTATGAACTTCATTTTCGAAACATAAGAGTAGAGGTAAATTAATAGTTAGTTTGATTGTTCACTAAATCACACTGATTGTTCATTCAATTATCTTTCTCCGTCTCCCTCCTTTTTTTAATTTTTCTTTTCTCTACACTTAGCAATTGTGAAGTCCTCTTCATTGAGGTAAAAGAACCGTCAACGTAATTACTTGATAATTGGTTTGAATTTAATCTGTAAGGATTTTCAATTTTTACTGGCACACTCACATTTATGATATTCTTCTTCGTAGGAAAAATAAGCTAACATAGATGCATTTAGATGTGAAAACCAAAAATTTGAAAAATAAAGATGTCATACAATTTTAAACCCCTAGGCCCCGTTTGTTTTGGGAGATAGAATTGAGGGGATTGATAATGAGGGGATTAATAGTGAGGGGATTCTTAGTGAGGGGATTCTTAGTGAGGGGATTGATAGTGAGGGAATTAATAATGAGGAATTGTTAAATTATTTTTATATAAAATAATAAAACAAATAAAAAAATATAAAAAATTAAACATTATATTTAAAAAAAATTCTCAATATATAAAAAATAAAAAAATTTCTAATCCCCTCACTATTTTCTAATACCATCTCTACCTCCTCCTTACCAATCCCCCTTCCAAGGGTATTAGCAATACCAAGGGACTAATAGTCCAAAGGCTTTCTCTGCAAACAAACAGGGGCTTTAGTAATACCTTGGTATTACTAGTCCCAATACCCTCCCTATACCCCAAAACAAACGGGGCCCTAGCTTGCAATAACCATTTAGGATTCTTTTGAGAAGTGAGTTAGTAGTCAAAAGTCAACTTTTAACTAATTTTAAGTCATATTATTTCATATATTTTTTACATATGTTTTTTTTAAAAAGTCAAAAAATTAATTTTTAATCATCTTTCTAAAACAAATCTTAATCATAGAAACAAATTTGAAGACGGTTTTATTTTTTATTTTTTTAAGCACCCTTTTCTATTATTCTATGCTTATCAGTAGCTTAGGCCTCGTTTGAGAATAAGTTTTTTTAGTAATTTTTTGATTTTTTGACTAAAATGTGATGTAAAAAAAATTAATATATTTGGGATAACTTTTTGACTTTTTTCAAAAAAATGTACAAAAAATAGAGAGAAATAGAATCTTTAACTTTTTTGTATGAGTTGTTGACTTTTTTATTTTTTTAGTGACTTTTTGATTTTTTTACTAAAAAGATTACTTGTCAAACGAGGCCTTAGGCCTTTATCGTTTAGAAGAATTACTCCACAGGAGACGTGAAACATAATTACAAAAGGAAAAAATGATAGACTGTGTTTGGTTATGTATTTTAAACATATTTTTATTTGCACATTTGAGTGTGGTGTTTGTTTTAAATTTTTAAATTATAATTTCATATTTATTTTTGAAAACTCCTTTCCAGGCGAGAAAATTTGGCTAACTCGGTCATTTTCCCAGACGTCTCCCTAGACGTCCGGCCGGTTGACCGGAATTGTTTTTTTTAGTTGGCCGGAATTTTTTTTTTTTTTTTTTCGGCACATGTTATTTTTATATTGTAAATAAAAAATATTTTCATTTTTTTTTTAATTTTTATATGAGATTTGAATAGAATTTTGGATTGTGTGTTTGGTTATAAGTTATCAATTGTTTAATCAAATAATTTTTCTAATTTCAAAAACTCAAAACTCCCTCCAATACTCAATTCAAAATTCTTTTTAAAACTCATAACCAAACAAATTTTTTATACTCAAATCATAATTTCAAAACTCATAAACTCAAAATAAAACTTTACTTTCAAATTATATTTAAAAAACTCTACCAAACACTATTTTTTTTTAAAAATATTTTCTTTATAATTATGTTCCACCATTACTTTTTCCTGTCATGCCTGTCATGCCCATTATTCGTAGCTTTTACCATCGTAATTGCAACTATTGTGATTACATTTTATTGGTGCAATAGAGAATGAGTGGCACTGCGGAGAGGTAGGACTGGTTGTAGCGTAAGGTGGGATCAGGAAGAGGTTATGTTAGCATCGATGTTGACGGAAATAGTGGGTAGTGGCGGCAACTGTGGTGGCTTGGATGCTAAGGTTAAGGATTAAGGTTAAGAGTTGTTGAAAAAGATGTTGGTGTTGACGACTGACACCCGGTGATCAAGGTAGCTTGGTAGTTAGGGTTTAGAATGAAAGATGAGGGCACTTTGAAAATAAAAATGTGTGCACTGAATGAAAATAAAAATAAAAATAAAGTTGAAATTATATAGTGTATGAATTGAATAAGAATGATTCTGATTAATCGTTTAAAGTGGTTATAGAAACTATAATTAAGTGTCAAGATGAATGATATTTCAAATTAAAATTTATGTAAAGACGTTGACATGCGTTATAATTTAACTACTAACCTATTAATGTGAAAACAAAAATTTGAATAAAGATATGCATAAAATAAAGGAAAATTCTAATATATGCATTTATAAAAGGGTGTACTATATGCACAATAAATTATGTTATTTTTTTTGTTTATTTAATTATGATATATTATTTTAGTTATGATTAATGGAATTTTCAATTTATATATCATGTTATATTTAATTATGATTTTAAAAATTAAAATTACGCTATTTTTTTTTAATATTTTTTATAGTAAGGTGCAATGGTCCCAAAAATGAATATAGGTGTGCGGAAAAAGAAGGGGTCTTAAAATTCACGGATAAAACGAAGGAAGGTAACAGGGTAGGTGATGTTGCTCAGTCATGCCAATGGCCGTTCTTTGCACACTACCTGCAAACCTTCACTTCAGTAGAATGACCATAATGCCCCGCTCTGTTATCACCAGGGAGCACAGAATGCGGGTCCCGTACGAACTGAAGGAAGGGCAGTCTCGTCTTTTCCACAAGCTCCCTTCTGGTTTGGACATGGAGGTTATCTTCCAGAAGGGTCTCCGCTACTACAGAAGAAACCCAAATGAGAGAAGAGACAGATCTGAAAACCCACCTTTAGTTTTCATCCATGGAAGCTTTCACGCAGCGTGGTGTTGGGCTGAACACTGGTTGCCCTTCTTTTCACAGAATGGGTATGATTGCTATGCTCTCAGCTTGCTGGCTCAGGTCCTCTCTCTCCCTCTTCCCTGATACCATCTTTTCATTTTTGAAGCTCAATTCACTTGGATTGTGTTGCAATTGCATCTCCATTTTTTCATTTTTCCCCATTAAATCTAGGTAAAAAATTACTTAAAAAGGTTGATTTGATATGAGATGCTCTAAATTTAACCAAAAGCTTAATCTGGTGAAAAAATTGAAAGCTCCTATCTTTCATCAAATATTTTTAAAAAAATTGCAAGCTTATTACCAAAAGCTTCTTTCATCAAATTTGGTGAAAAACTTGTTTTTGCCTTTGATTTGATGAAATATTTGGTGAAAATTTGATTTGATACAAATTTGATGAAATGATTGGAGGTCATTTACACCAAAATATTCATCAAACTTAAATTTGATAAAAGATTTGGAAACAGATATATATATATATAAATATAAATTGTGGAATACTTTTTAATGCTTTGTTTGGTTGCAAAGAAAATGTGGAGCAAGGGAAGTTTTTCTTGCCAAATTTGGAACTTCACGCAACAATAAGTGAGGTGTTTAGATTTAATTCTTAGAGCATCTCCACCGGTTGAACAAATTTTTCACCAAATTTGAGTAAAAAAAAGACGTTTGGCTCAATTTGATATCAATCACTCCAATGGTGTTCATCAAAATGCACCGGACGACCGGCCGGTCGACCGGTAAGAGTAAATTCTGTACAAAGCTTGAGAAGCTTGAGGGTCATCCGGGTGGTCGACCCCTCAGTGTAAAATCTGTACAAAATTTTGCAAAAATTGGTCATCCGGTAGGTCATCCGGTGTGTCATCCGGTAATGAAAATACAACGGTAATGAACCGTGTTTTAGTGAAAGACCCAGCCCATTCTCAGTTTGGTGAAAGTTTTGGTTCATTCTCAATTTGATACTGTTTGGGTGCAACCGTTGGAGCACAAAAGGTAGATCAATTCAGTAATTTCATCTCAACCAACTCAAGTGAATATTTCTATCAAAAATTTTAATGGCGTTATCAATTGGTCGTAAAATCTAAAATTAAAAGTGAAAATTGAGTATTGACTAAGAGCATCTCCAACGGTTGAACAAATTTTTTACCAAATTTGAGTAAAAAAAGACGTTTGGCTCAATCTAATATCAATCACTCCAATGGTGTTCATCAAAACGCACCGGACGACCGGCCGGTCGACCGGTAAGAGTAAATTCTGTACAAAGCTTGAGAAGCTTGAGGGTCATCCGGTTGGTTGACCCCTCAGTGTAAAATCTGTACAAAATTTTGCAAAAATTGGTCATCCGGTGGGTCATCCGGTGTGTCATCCGGTAATGAAAATACAACGGTAATGAACAGTGTTTTAGTGAAAGACCCAGCCCATTCTCAGTTTGGTGAAAGTTTTGGTTCATTCTCAATTTGATATTGTTTTGGTGCAACCGTTGGAGCACAAAAGGTAGATTTTTTTCATCAAATTTGAATTTGGTGTTGGATTTGGTGAACGGTTGGAGATGGACTTATGGAAATACTATTACTAGTTTGAAGTTCCAATCTACATATTCTTGGATAAATAACGGATCCAAAAAAGAAAATTATTGTTTTGGGATTTGTCTGTGAATTCATTTTATAACAATTCTTGCTTGTTAATAACAAACTTCCAATTGATAAAAGTTCATTTCAATGGTTAGAAAATTAGTACTATTTGCTTTGTTTAGGAGGGTTGAATCCGAAGCCTATCTCAATTGATTTTAGGGTTAACTACCATTAGGCCACTGTCATGCCTTCACTCTCTCTCTCTCTCTCTCTCTCTCAGACACACACACACACAGAGATGAGATTAAACTAAAGTCACATAAGATCTTGATGCCATTTTCTTTCTGAATTGAACATCCATTGAAGTAACAATTAATGCAATTATGTGAAGATGATTTTCTTTTCTTTTTCATATTTTATGGGCAAGTGAAGGTGAACTAGAAAGAAGTGTTTTTTAACAGGAGGAATGAATAAGAGATAGCCTTAGCAGTGTTCCATTTGGTCAGTTTGTGTTTTTTGTTAGCCTATCTATGGTCTTAATTAGATCTACTTAGTAGATTATATTTTGTGTTAGTTGCTAGAAGTGCTTTCCCTTTCCTAAACGTGTGTTGCTTTTAGGCATGTAATGAGCTTCACTGTAATATTTGATTTTTTTTTTTTTTGTGATTTAAAACTTAGGACTTTCCTAGCCAAAAAAAAGGACACCTTTGGGAGGAAGGTCTGTAAATATGATTTTGACAGTTTTATATTGTGTGTGCTGAAAATCAAAGTTATGGATTCATATATGTATTTTGATTATTGATCCTACATAGCTAATATTTTGGTTACGTAACAGTTTTGATACTTTTCCTCGTTTTTGAAGTATACTTATCCATTGAACTTAAATTTTAATCCTTGTTTGGCATATTCTCTACATAATCAGGGTGAAAGTGATGCACCTGCTGGTCCAGTTGCAGGTTCACTTCAGGTATTTAGCTCTCCAATCCTTCTATAACCTCATTTTAGGATCTTCTTGCCTTATTTCATTTTTGATGGAATCCACTTCTTATGTACTCTTTACTGCAGTAGACACACGCAGCAGATGTTGCTGACTTCATCAGGAAAGAAGTAACGTTGCCACCAGTGTTGCTTGGACATTCATTTGGAGGTCTTATTGTTCAGTATTACATCGCCAATATAAGGAGTGAACAAATTTTAGGTAAAACTTCTACTCTAGTTGGTTCTTATACATGTTTAAGAATCCAAAGTAAGAAATGTAGATAAGTCAGGCATAAGCCTTTCGAATGAAGTACAAGATTTGCAGGCTCTCTTATTGTAAATAGATTAATTAAAAAATAAATGTAAAGATAATAAACTTCCATTTGCACAATGTACATTATTCAGTATCATATTAGAAGCATAAACTTTTAAGAGACAATTAATAAATTGAATGGTAAAAGTACAGTCACATCCATGATATTCTTTCTAATCAGAAGATTTTTGATTTCGTTGTTGATTTCTCATAATTAAGTGGTTACTTCCTAAACTGTACGGTCTCCTGACTAATTGAGCTTGATTCTAGAAACAAAAAGCTTGCACCCAGATCTTGCTGGAGCTGTGCTTATTTGTTCTGTGCCCCCTTCGGGTAATAGGTGACTCCCTAACGAGATGAGCTCTTCTATTTCCATGAATGTGATGGAACTGAGACTAAAATATTTTGTACTCTTTGTAGTGGATTAGTGTGGCGGTACCTCTTTTCCAAGCCTATTGCTGCTTTTAAGGTCTGTCTTTTCTCACACTATTGATTAATGTAATTTGCATGTACTTCCTCCTCTTCAATTCCTCAGGACATAGATGTAGGAGTAAACAGATCATGTTTTTAGATCCTAAGGCTATGTTTGGATCATGGATTTCGGTAGGAATTTGGAAAGACAAAGGAAAAGGCAAGGGAAATGGATAAAAAATTTAGCTTATATTTCATGTAAATATCTGCTGTCTTTTTCTTTCCCTTCTAAGTAGTCCCTACCCAAATTCATAATCCAAAGAAAGCGTGAAAACAGGGTCTAGACTAGGTTGCAGTTTTTCACTCTCAATTTTGAGTGTTTGCTTGATAAAACATGATGAGCTTTCCTTCCCTCTTTAATATTCTGTTGCATTTACAATAAATGCAGAACATCGCTTATTCAGTCTTTCTTATGACCGAGACACTGATTGATTTGAAACATTGATCAGGTGACACGTAGCTTGGCAGCCAAAGGTTTCCAAACTTCACTGCCTCTTTGTAAGGAAACATTTTTCTCTGCAGAAATGGAGGATCATCTGGTTCTACGGTTTGTCCATGAGAACTTTATTCCTTTTGTTTTTTCAAAATGCTAAACTTTATAAATATAGATCATGCATATTGGTTTGATGAGATCTATCCACACAGAAAAATTGTACCATGGAATTCAGTGAGTCAAAAATGTGCACCCAATGTAAGATGATCCACTCATATTCTTAGACATCCTCAACCCAGTGATGTTGATGTCATCGACATTGCTGGAGAGATGACAGCAAGATTAGAGTGGTGACACAGAGCCTCTCCATGGTCCTCGAAACATACATTGAGAGAAGAGCTGATGAGTTTGAGAGAGAGAAGAGCTGTGAAGATAGAATGCAAATTGAGAGCACTTAATGAAGAGAGAAATTAGTACTTGCATTATTTTGCAGACACCTTTAGACTATTTCTTACCCAAACAGGCTACTGCTTGGGTTGTCCTAGTTATGCATATTGAAGGGTATGTGGTGTAAATTGTACTCATGCCCTTGGGGCATTTTGGCATTCTGATTTCAAATACAAAAAGTTAAGGCAATCTGCCCAATACCTAGTTCCCACTTACCTCTCTTACAGTGTGATATGATATTCCTCTCCCTGCCAATACTTCTTAAAGGTACAAAAAGGAATTGGTCGGTTTCAATGTTCACAATAAAACCGAACTGAAAACCGATTTTTTAGAAAACTAAAATCTTATCTGAATTTTAAGCTAGAAAAATTCAGTAGGTTTTAGTCGAGTCAATCGGTATATATTTTTTTAACGCTTCTATCTACAAGGAACCTAGTCATTGTTTCTAGAGTTTTGGGGTCTGTTGCTGGATAAAAATTATAGTTGTTATATACCCAATTGTTTAACAATATTTACATTTCACAAGTATTTTGTTTGCCATGTCTCAATAATTCCACTATAAGATTGTAATTTTTGTTGCCTAAAAAAGATGCTAATATGTGAAATAAATTAATGAAAGCCTCATTGTGCATTAGGAGTTCTCAACATTGCTCAAGGATTTTATTTGGGTTGTAATCAACATAATTCCGGGTCTTTTTCCCCCTATCGACCATGTTGAATCCGTTGGACAATTATGACCTTCATTATTGTCATATTGTAAAAATGTACTAGTTCAGTTAATATTATATCTCCTAGGTTATTTGTTGTCTTATCAGAATTGAGTATTGATTTTTCTTTTATTTTCCTCAGTTACCAAAAGCTAATGACAGAAAGTTCAAGGATGCCATTGTTCGATCTAAGGAAGCTTAATGCATCTCTTCCTGTTCCTTCAGTACCAAACGCTTCCATTGAAGTTCTTGTGCTTGGAGCAAATCAGGACTTCATAGTGGTAAACAAACATTATGCTAGATAGATATACACTTGTGCGCACAGTGAACCACAGTATAGTTCTCTGTGCTGCTGTAACAAAGTCTGGTATTACCAATATTTATCTTTATATATTAGAAAGAAAATATGGATTTGTTTGGTACCTTTTCATTTTGTGTTTTTGGAAATAACAAACTACGAAACGTTTGAGAACACCTATAGTTTTCATTTTAGTTTGAAAACAGTTTTCTAGTGTTTCATACAAAATGAGGAGTTAATTTATTTTATTTTTTATATAGATTTTGTGAAATATTTTTTTAAAATAATTCGCCATTGCAGCCAGCTTATAATTGCTTCAGTTTTTTGAACTCTTCTATTGCCTGTAAGTAGTTATTTTTATAGCCCATCGTCTGCTAATTTGTAGTACATTAGTTGATAAATAGTAATGACGTAACACAATAAGTGATGTTTGTAGGATGCTGAAGGGCTCAGCGAAACGGGCAAGTTTTATGGTGTGTCGCCTGTCTGCGTTGAAGGGAATGTTGGCCACGACCTGATGCTGGATTGTTCATGGGAGAAGGGTGCAAGAGTGATCTTGTCTTGGCTGAGTGGTTTGAATCGACAATAGACAGTAGTGGTTTGAATAGACAGTAGAGAAGAAAGAAGCATTGCCCAGACAGCTTATAGACATCATAATATTCCTCAAAAGGCTCAATTGTATCACTTGTTTCGTGAAGTTGGTCAGTTCAAGGGTAGGACAAAAGTGAGATTATCCCAATCATTTGTTGAAGTGGTTCCTAAAAACCAGAATAGTACTGCTGCTAATTTATATCAGTATAAGTTTTTGTCAATTGAGTTGGTGGCAGTGTTTTTCACGGCGAAAAACGAACTGAGGCGATAAGGTCTCCTAATGCCTAAGCGCAAGGCGATGAGGCGAGGTGAGGGCTTCATCGAATTGAGGCAACCACAAAGGATATTTTTTTTAAAATAAATAGTATAGACAAAAATATAAATATTTTAAGAACCATCATGTATTTATCATTTCAAATATTAAATATCCATGAACAACAGAAAATATCCAACAAAGAAATTAAAGAACAACATATTTTTAGCAGAGGTAACCATGGAAAAATAGTGTTTTAGCAAAATTAATTGAAATTTTTTCAGTAAAGTAGTTATACAATTAACATAGCAAAATAATTGTAAAATAACACAACAAAATAATTAAATAATTGTAAAATCAATTTAATAAAATTAATTGAAATTTTTTTAGCAAAATAAATAAGAAGACAAACAAAATAATAACCATGGAAGAAAAAAAAAGGTCTGTCGAAAAAGAAGAAGAGGAGAAAAAAAAAAGGGAGTTCAAAGAAGAAAAGAAGATGAAATGAAGAAGAAGCAGTAGAAAAAGACGAAGAGAAGAAAGGAAGAAGAAGAAGCAGGTACTCATATCCTCTTTCGACTGGAACAATGTCGGAAGCAGGTAATCAACAAGGTTTTTGAAAGCAATTGTTGACCGGAACGATGTCGACTAAGGTTTTGACTTCTTATTTAGTGGAAAGCAATTATAAAGTGCAACGTATGTCCACAAATAGTACAAAAGTCATTCAAATCAAGGGTCCAGATCTTTTGAACTGAAAGCAGACAAAAAATGGTGAAGCGATCGCCTCTCGTTTTGACACCTAAGCCTCACTTCATGCGCTTTGACTTTACTTCACCATTTCGCCTCATCTCAGTAAGTATAAAGCGCTAAAAGGTCACCTTGCCTCGCTTACGCGCTTAGGCGAGCGCTTAGTCGCTCTAATAACAATGACTAGTGGTATACAAAATTCGAATATATATATATATATATATATATCTATGTATAAGAAGCTCTTTTTTCCTATGGCTTGTCATTTATTTTCCTATTTTGAAAGCAATTATAAAGTGCAACGTATGTCCACAAATAGTACAAAAGTCATTCAAATCAAGGGTCCAGATCTTTTGAACTGAAAGCAGACAAAAAATGGTGAAGCGATGCTTCGCATTGCCTCTCGTTTTGACACCTAAGCCTCACTTCATGCGCTTTGACTTTACTTCACCATTTCGCCTCATCTCAGTAAGTATAAAGCGCTAAAGGGTCACCTTGCCTCGCTTCACGCTTAGGCGAGTGCTTAGTCGCTCTAATAACAATGACTAGTGGTATACAAAATTCGAATATATATATATATATATATATATCTATATATAAGAAGCTCTTTTTCCTATGGCTTGTCATTTATTTTCCTATTTTGCCCTTAGCTTATTTTGAAATTACTATTTTGTCCTTTAGTTGGTTGGTGAAACAATTTGAGTGGTGGCATTTTGGAAATTATGTAAGACAGTTTGGCTCCTTTGGTTGAGAAGGTTTATTTTGGGTTGCCTATTTTGCCCTTAGCTTGTTTGGGAATTTCATATTTTGCCATTTTATTTTGTATAATTTATTAATAGTATAACAATTTGAATGAAGGTTTTCTCATAAATATACAAACATTCTGGTCAATTTTAACAAATTACAAATACACCCATAATGTTTGTTTAAAATATGAATTAGTCCTATAATAATACAAATTACAACTGTCGTTTGTTATAAATTTTAATTTAACCTAATAATCAGGAAAAAAAAATAATAACTACTCTCCTATGCAATAATAAATTATCAAAATTGTTCATTGAAAAATATTTCTCATATCATTAAAAATTGTTAATTGACTTAATTTTTTTTTATTAACAAAATGGTTAATTGAAAGATATTTTTCGTATTATTAATTGATTTAAAGATTTATTTATTAATAAAATTGATCATTTATTTTGCGAGTTTGATTTATTTATTAATAAAATATGTCATTTGTATATATGTATTCGCTTCTGTTTCTTTATTAGTTCAATTTTTTTTTTTTTTAGATGCAGGATTATCTTATCTCTTTTATACTAAAACGTATATTTTATTTTGTTTATCTTTATGTCTTCATACTTATTTTTACTGAAAAAGAAAAAAATATAACTATGTTAAAACGATAGAATTTATTATATTTTTTCTAATTGTTATTATTTATAATACAATTTATATAATTCTATCACAAATCTAATGATTTATTATATTTAATTTCATAAAATAATATTTTTATTTTTAAAAATTATTAAAATACAAAATTTAAATATATTGTAATATGGGTCTTTGTAACTAGTATATATATATATTGGGGCATTTACATACAAGTCTCATTTTGTAAACTTATAATCCATTAAGTCCTATATAAAATTATTTGCTCCTTCAAGTCCCATTAATTTTTAATAGGCCAATTTACCCTTCCAAGACCTCCTTGCCAACCAGACACTCTCTCTCTCTCTCTCCTCCCCACAGACCCAGTCTCTAGTCTTTGGTCAACATGAATAGTCTTGCTACGATCAAATCCTTCATCTTCTTCTTTTTCTTCAATCCGTTTCCAACTCCGTCGTCTGCGAAATCGATCGGACTCCGAATGCCGATACGCATCCACTTGAGTATCATCAGAAAATCGCCACCAATCATCAGCGACAGCATCCCAAGGCGACGCTTCACGCAGATCTGGATACGAGCTACTGGTCCTACTAGTCATCCTCAATCCACCAACACCAGATGAGTCATACACCGTCCAATGATCCGAATACTCATACCACCGATCAACCGTAGACGAATCCGATTTCTGGACCTCATTTCTGACATTACTAGAAACAATCTGATGATCCTGATGATGATCTCCATCATAGTTCTTCTTTCGGCTGAGAAATCCGAAGACCAGAGCGAAGAGAACTAGTACTATAATGGTCGTCCAATCGGAGTTGGTGTGTAAATCGAGGAAATTACCGTCACCTCACTCAGGGAATTTGCAGAGATAGATCGGCCACTGCCATTAGAGATAGAGAGAGATCTACGGTTTTTTGAAATTGAGAATCTTCTCAATTTATAATATTCTCAATTTTAATCATGAAAAAATTGAGAAAATTCTCAAAATTGATAATTATAAATTTTTTAGTTTTGATAGCTTTGATAATATTCTCAGTTCATACTAGAAAAAAAATTGAGAAACTTTCTAGTTTTGATAATTATAAATTGAGAACATTCTCAGTTTTGAAATTGAGAACATTCTCAGTTTTGGGATTAAAGGGCAAAACGTCTTTTTACCTGTACATGGGACTTATTGGTTCAAAATTTTTTTGATAGGACCTAAGCTACCACCAAATGTGTAGATAGGACGTTTAGGTAATTAGCTCATATATATTTAACCTATTTGTAAGGGATGGTGCAAAGGGAGTCTCCATGGGGCAAAACAGATGATAGATGGAACATATAAGAATTAATAATGAATTACACTAAGAGTCTCTATAATTTTGTGATATATTTGATCTTAAATTTTGAATGTCGTTCTAAATAAAGACAATTGAAGACATTATTGTTGTATTTGAAGAGAAAAATCATCATACCATTTATTTTGTATTGATTAACTTGTATATTGTTTGAAATATATAGTTTTTTTTTAATGAATAATGTTGGAATTTTTTTGGTTATAAAGTTCTATTTGGTTTGGTTTTCCGAATCTATTTTCAGAAAATTTTCTAAGAAACTAAAATTTAAATTGTTGAAAAAAAATCAAAAAAATATTATTTTTATATAATTTTATCTTTTGAGAGGTTATAAATAAGAATTTTTTATATTTATTTTCGTTAAATTAATTTTTATTTTTTCAAAAGTCAAATATGGAGATAATTTTGATGTCATTATTAAACAAATCTATTCAATCAAAAAATTCAAAACTAAAAACATTTTATATATTAAACATATCGATTATATATTAAAAGTTTAATAACCATCTATTATATGATAACCATTTAAAAATATCGGTTAATAGTAAATACAACTATCTATTGTATGATAACCATTTAAAAATATTAACAAAAACAATCACTCATTACATGATCATCATCCAATCACATATTAAAAACTAAAAAAATAAAAATGTAAAAGTGTGTGAGTGATTTTCCAATCACATTGCCCAACTTAGCATTCAGCTGGAGAGAACTGGCGGAATAGATGACACCTACCTGACCTGTAACAGAAAGAGAAGATTCCGGCGGTGGTTCGTCCACCCGGGGGCACTCCGACGATCAAGTCAGTATATTTCTCAAAGATAATCAATAGTGCTAAACTCACTGTTCAGAGTATAAATTGCGTACCTTAGACCCATGGGGATGCCTCTATTTTATAATTAACTCAATCCTTGTCCCACTAGAAGCCTAGCTTCAATGGACTCTTGCTCAGTGTTTATCCTGGACTCTCTAAGAGATAAAGATAAACTCCCTAAGAGTGTTATCCTTATCCATGCTATAGTCCCTTCTCATTCTAGGACTCTTGTGTCTTATCCGCTTATCTCGGATTCCGATATCTTCGGAGATAACCTTGGCCTTGCCGAGATCACCTCGGCGTCATATCCTGGACACATGGCATCTCGGCTGACACGTCGGCGTCACCTTGGCCACGTGTTGGGACTTATAAAATATATCCCCACAACTGCTCCCTAGGTTTTATTGCCTCGGCATCCTGAGGTAATAGAACCTATATCGGTACTTCCTGTCAGTACATCGGCGTAAGCCGAGATAATCATCATAAGCCGATATGTCTTCTTAAAGATTAAGAATCCTAAGGGCTTCTTCACGCGTATGAGTTGTTATATATAACAACTCAACCGTTTAAGCCACGTGTCTTCCCCTCACTGGATCGTACTTGTTACGCTCTTGTAAGTCGTCTCGTGCCTACATGCGCCGTCTGACGTATTAGCTGTTCCAGGCACATTAA